AAAGTATTTAAATAGTGGAAATAAAACAAAATGAACTAAAAAATTATTGCATTTAAATTGTTGCATGATTGCATGGACTACGCATAATTCAGTTGTCTTTGGCTCTAATTAAAATTCCAACTTTTTTTCGATTGCTTTGGCGTATCTTTGGTCTTGACTCGAATTCCTTGAATTCTTCACCACAACAGCAAATCACATCCACAATCTGATCCCTTGCAATGCTTGCAACATTCCCAAATACGATACACTATGCACAGGAGGAGTTTTGAGTTTGAGTTTGACTGTAGTTAAATTAAGTCGAGTCGTGCACAAAGGACACTCATTATGCATTCCCAAACTCAATACATCCCATCGCTGCTTCTTTTGTATCGCTCTCTCCATCTCCGTCTGTCTCTCTGCGAATAGTTTTTTACGCTACGCTGTTTTTTTAAATAAGTAACTTTTTATGCATACTTTCAGGCGCGCCGCCAACAAACAGCAACAAAAGCTGCCAACATTTTTTACATTGCTATCTCGCCCGACAGGACATTCCCCACTTCCCCACACACCCGCTCTCCATGACCCTTAACCCTTCGCGGCAGCCACATTGTTGCGGTTGTGAGATAAAGTGCTGCATTTTGTTTTGTGTTTCCAAACGATTCGCTCCAACTCCAACTCTGTCCCTCTGCCCCTCTGCCCCGCTGCCACATTGGCACGCCAGAGACATATGAGCCGCAATGATTCTTGTTGCATATGTGCAACAACTTACATGCCAGCTGGCAGTGTGTTGGTTGCGGATATCAGCAGTAAATGTTACTGTAACTGTTGCTGAGCAATGTTCGCCATTAACTCGCACAATTTGTGGCAAGTCAGGCGGGGCAAAAACAAAAAAAAAAAACCAAAAATAAAATAATAATATGAAAGAGAATCGGGTTTTCAAGCTGAACTGAAACACGTTGTCCTGCAAATGTCCAAGCATGCAAAATGCGCACAGCTGTCGGGATTAACCGACGGAGTCTAGATTGCAATGTAAACGCAGCGAATTAGCTCAAGCCATAAACCCCGACGAACACCCCTCGACCAACAACCACCCCCGCGACACACAAAACAAATCACACAACACACACACAACACACACACACACACACAAATAAATGTAATAAAGAAATAAAAATTTCTCAATGGGGGCGCGGCGCAGGACAAACAATGTCCTTTGGCGTGTTCGGCTCGGTTTCTGTTTCAGTTTCTGTTTCCATTTGTGTTTGTATTTTCATTTTCATTTTCATTTTCATTTGAATTGCAGCCGTCGCCAAAAACTGGAAACTGAAAATTTAACAGATGGCGCGCATTAGCTGCGCTTCACTCTCGACCCCAGAGACCTGAATGCGATCTGCGACAAACGGAACGGAACGGAATCCAACACAAAAAACCCCCTCAAGCTCACACAAAACAACAAGCAGTGGACCAGAAGTGATTCATCACTGACCAAAAATCCAGGTGAGTGCTTAAGACGCACTCGCAGCTCATTCACCGAATACAATTTTGAATTTTTATATATTATTATTAAACATTATTATTATATATATATAAATATTGTATGCATGAAGCAATTACTTAATTCCTTTGCGTTTAATTATTTGGAGATTTGTGGCAATAATTTTTTTTCCATTTCAAATTAAATTTGGATTGCTTTCGAGTTGCTTATTTCGGGATTGTGCTCAACTGGGTTGCAACTATTGGGTTCAGTTCATTCAACATCATATGCATATGCATACAATATATCCTTGGTGCATTTTTGTTTCGTTTTTCAATTTGGGTTCCACTGTGCGACAGATGGGTTGGGTTGGGTCAACATTGCCATAACGATATCGAAACAAATTGCGGGCGAATAAAGCAAATCGAAAATATTAATGTGCGACTCAATGAGTTGGAAGCGAGTCGCGTCGCATCGCATCGCATCGCGTTCAGAGACTTTCGCTTGGCTTTGGGACTCGATTTGGGTTTGGGGGACTTTATTCTTTTTTTGGGGTAGTCTCCGAGATAAGCCGCGTTCGGTTTCTGGTAGTGTGGACCTTGGTGTTGTGCAATCTAGAACTCGTAGTTCCGATGGCTGTGCCTATTTCAATATTTACTCTTTTTGGCCGGCGTAAGTCTTGCAAAGCTGCCACAGGCACAGCGTCTCGCTGGTCAGTTTTAGAACACAGTGGGTGGATTGGGGTCTTGGGGTCACATAATGGATGGCCGCGACCAACTGGCAGACGTCGCCTGGAACTTCGCTCAACATAAATATTTTTATCACTTGCCTTTGCCGGCAATTCGAGTTTGTTTGTTTCCTGTTTTCTGTTTTTTTTATTTGATTTCTTTTTTTTAAACTTTCTTGTTGAGTTGAAGGAACGGACACGGACCCGGACACGGACACGGACACGGATGCGGATGCGGACACGGAAGTGGATCCGCTGAGCAAGTGGCCGCATCTTTGAGGCGCGGGGCAAAAACTAATTCAAATTAAAGCCTTTAATCTCGGCACAAAATCGCTGCGACTTATGCATTAAATTAATTTCACGCTCCCCATTTGGGCAATGGCAGATTGCGATGATGCTTGGATTTCATTTATAGATACCATGAAAAAAAAAAAACAGAAGAAGCAGTTCATAAAAGTTGAAGTACTACGAATTTGAATGGCTAAGTGTTTGAAAAGTGAGTGAAGCCTAGATAAAAACAGATGAAACTGAAACTCAACAAAGACGAATTAAAGTGGAAGTTAAGCTTATTTCTTTTTTCATTCAGTTATAAATGGCTATAAACTGCAAATGGTTTGAAAGAAACCAACTCGGCGACGGTTGATTTGAATTTGATATGAACTAACGAATAAAACTGACGTTCAAAAAGGCACAAAAAGAAGAAGTAATTTATTGCTAATATAAACAACATAAATATAGGTTTATGTTTAACCCATTCGAAAGAAGTAATTTGTGAAGAATGAGTTTGTCTTTCATTTTTTTTATTATTTTTGGGGTACTTGTTTGCTCCCTGCCCGGAATATCTTTCGTCTTACACAGTTTGCCACCCGTCTGGTCATATCCAATTGCCAATTGCTCGGGAAATTTGGTTCATAAGCCATAAATTAGCAGAGACTACGAAGTTGACCTTCGACCCCCTGTTACCGCTATGAGGCTGTGCCGCAAGTTGCAAAAAGGTGGTTGGCTAAGGGGACGGGGAAGACGTCGAAACATCTCCCTAAGTTGACGTCGGCCGCTGTGCATTTGTTTCTTTGATTATTTTTGTGGACGGGGTGGACGACAGGCAGCCAACAAAAAGTTAATCGTTAGTAATTTATGACTCTCTGCGGAAGGCGAGACAACCAAACGAAGCAATAGAGGGGGGGACGGAATAGCACGGATGCGGGGTGGGCGCTGGGGGCGTGTCTGCAAGGTGCGGACAATGCTGAGCCACCAACAACAACCAAGAACACAAATAATTGGTTCGTCGTATGTGGACACTATGATGAGATTGAGATGATGATGATGATGATGAGGATGTTGATGATGATGTTGATGATGATGATGATGGCATAAATGACCCGCTGACTTTGACAACAAGCATGCCCCGAGTGGGTTAGCAAGGAGATCGTTGCACACATTGATTCAATTCAACTCGATTCGATTGGTATCATTTGACGTCAAGAACTGAGAACTGGGAACTAACTGGGAACTGGTCGACCATCGAGGCATTCAAATGCCGTCGTTCAAGTGTTGAATAAAGCACCAAAAATGCGAACAGAAGAATGCCGGTGACGTCGTCGACGGCACTGCCATTGACATTGGGCATTGGGCATTGGCAAGGGGCATGGACACTGCTAGCAATGGCGATGGCGATGGTGATGGTGATGGCAATGGAATGCAATGCATTGAATCGAGTTCATTGCGCTCCAGCAGGAGTTTTCGCTGTGCGCCGCACAATGGTCGCAATTGAAAACGGCACTCGAAGGGGCCACAGAACACAGCACACGACTGTCCGATCAAATGGCGTTCATGCCACAGCGAGGGCTGTTTCAAAAATGACACCAAATTAATGATGATATGTGTTCAAGCAAGCTTGTGCTACTGTTATTAACTTCATCGCAAAAAGTTATCTGGCATTAGATGATGCTTTATAGTGGAATATTTATAGCACATATATAAACTACCAATTCTAAATTTAATGATTTCGATCTAGAAATTTAGTAACAGTCGATAATAATTTGAAAGTTATATTCATTTCTGGACAACTAAAACTTCTGGGTAAGTAAATTGCACATATTTTATTCAATATCTCACAAAGCAAACCGAGTCGAAGACAAGTGTTAAAATATCATAATTAATAATTAATAATTATGTTGCGATCTTCACATTTTTAAATAGGTAAAAGGTAATAAAACTGTTTACAATATTACTTATTTTTAGCTATTTTTCACTTTTCTTATTTTATTTTTTAACCAATGCTTCGAGATATTTGAAGTTTTTTTGCATAATTTCTCTAGCACATCAAAATTATATAAGATGATAAGCTTATTTTCTGAATTGTGAACAAAATCAACTAAAATGTCGTTGTAGGGAATTGAGTGAATATCGAAAGTAGTCTAATATCACAATCGAGTCATGCCCAAAACCATTTTGTTACTTGCAAAGCATTTATTATTTGAAAAATCATTTGAAGCCTTGGTTATTTGAAATGCACTGTTAGCTAAACTTAGCTAAAATTGTTGCAAATTAAACATCAATTAATTCGAATGTGATTGGTGATTGATTAGCAGAAATGACACTAAGGAAATTACATCTAAGGAAAAGGGCAACAATAATTTTTAACCAACTTCAATTTCATTTTGAATATTTATAGAAATTTATATTTAGCATTTATCTGCTATAAAATATGCTCATCAGTTGAGTGGGGCAACATGAATGGCTGATGCATGGATATGTGGCATGAGGCATATTAAAGTAGAATAGATATAAGGTTGAGTATGGGTGGCAGTCAGTACTCACTCTTGCATTCGTTGGCATCGTTGTCGGTGGCACGTCCCCAGGGTCGGTCGAAGTAGAAGGGTTTGCATCGCTCGCACTCGGGTCCGGCTGTGTTGTGCTTGCAGGCGCAGGTCATGGCCAGCTTGGCGCTCAGCTGCAGGCTGGACGTGGTACGTCCGAAGTGGCTGTGCAGCGAGGTGGGCAAATCGTCGTCCTGGCCATCGTCGCCGCCATCGCCGTGAGCCAAGTTGGAGCTGGAGCTGGAACTGCCACTGCTGGTGGCGATGCATTCGGAGGCGTGGCCATTGCACTTGCAACGGCCGCCTACTGCAAAATCGGAGACGGCATAATGCTGCGAGATTGACAACAAATGCTGCAACTCGGCTTCAGCAGCGCTTTCCAGTGCGGATGCAGAGGCAGATGAGGATGCAGATGTGGGTTTGCCAGCGGCAGTTGTTTTGGTCAACGCGGCAGATGTGACCGGCGGTGTTGGGGTGGTGCTGGCTAGCAGCTTGCCCTGGAAATGTTTATCGTAGGCGCTGCTCTTGTGCTTGGAGTGACGCTTGCTCTCGCCATCGTTGGCATAGTCCAGATGCAGTTCGTCATCGAGCTCGAGATGCTTTTTGGGCTCCTCGTATTCGTCCTGGTCGTAGCCTGCGCTATCGTTGTCGTGCAGATTATAGTCGTACTCATCCTGCTCGTCCAGCTCATGGCCATCCAGTTCGTCCATTTCGTCCTCCTGGCTGGCGGTCATCTCATCGCTGAAACTGTTAGCATTCCCCTTTCCCTTAGCCTTGGCCCGTGCGCGCTCGCGACTCAGCAGCAGCTGCGGTGGCAACTCAAGGCGATGGAACACGACACGAATATCGGTTGCGGTCACCCAATCCTGCAGCACCAGTGATGCATCCAGATCATTGGCCGACGGTCTGCCCTCCAGCGTATTGAATGCGAATCGCTGTGCCGCCCCAGCACTAGACCCATCATGCTGTGAATTCATGCAACGCGCTTCCTGCTCATTGAACTTGCTGATCTTGGCCCGATCCGCACGGCCGTAGAACTTCTGGCACTGTGAGCTGTAGAATTGAAACGGCTGCCAGGTCTGGCCAAAGTCGGAGCTCTTGTAGATGGCCATGGAGTCGGGACGCGGTGATTTTGGGCAGAACGACAGAGAGATATAGGTCAACTCATATTTCTTGCCCAGCGATAGGGTCAGGGTGACATTGTCCGGGGGCGCCGTATCCGGATCATGCGGCACATTCACACTGCCAGAGCGCCAGCATGTCACATTGCTCGGATTGTTGAGATCGGTGAGGGCAGCCGCTCCGTATCGATGCTCCCTGTCCGCCTTGTCCGCCTTGTCGCACAGTCTGCACTCACCGGCGCTACCGTCGCGCTGCAACTCACAGAAACGCTCCGGCTGCGGATAGCCGCAAACGCTGGACGCCTGCACGGGATTCCCGTAGGCGGCATTCACAAAGCTCGGCAAACATTTGCGTGGCTTGCCCTCAAAATAGCACGGATCGTTCGCATTGATGTTGATGCCGGCAGCAAGCGCAGCGGCGGCAACAGCCAACAATTCGAGCAGCAACAGCTGCAGCCTCATCTTGATGCTTCTCTCTCACTCTCTCTCTCTCACACACTATCTCTCTCTCGCACACTTATTTGGATGTCTCTCTCTCTCTCTCTCTCTCTTTCTGTCTGTCACTCGCGAGGATCAATTGGCGAACGTTTGGCACACGACAAAAAACAAAACAAAAAAAAATGAAGGAAAACGACAACAACAACAAGAACTGCACACAACGGTGGTTTAACACGCGACGCTGAGCGGCGGCGTCACTGAGTCTGGCACGGCGGCCGCATGCAACAGCTGCCGCTCTAAACTTTTCGATTAGCGACTTCGATTTCGGTTTTCGTTGCTTCGCTGGCTGCTCTTCGATTCTTATGTTTTCGGTCTCGTTCTTGTTATCGTTCTCGCTCTCGCTCGCTCTGTTTTTATCTTGGCCACTTGTTAAGGTTAAGTTCTCCTCGATTGGAGACCGTTGCGCTTTGCGATGCAACTCGGTCAACGGCCAGCGTTGTTCTGTTCTGTTCTGTTTTATATCACGTCCTCGTCGCGTATCCTGTAAGGCGAGGCGACAACAGACGACCAAAATCCAAATGATTTGTCTGCCGTGTCTGTGTTGAGTTTCTTGGCACTTCGATTCGGTTCGTCTTTCGTTTCGTGTTTTCGTTTTCACCACTGCATGTTGCGGAGGCTGCTGCGGCTGCTGGCCGCAAATGTTGCTACACTCCAAACACCGAAAAAAAAATGCTAACAAAATTGTCGACGACACAAATACACGCGTGGGCTGAACGCCAAGCACGAGCACGGGCACGAGCACGAACACCAAATAGCAAATGCACACCACACACACAACAAATACAGTTTGCTCGCTCGCTGTTCGCTTTGCGTCGGCTTTGTTGTTCACCTGGCAAACGTTTGTCCGTTACTGAACGGCCGCAGCATCTCGGGCCACTCGCTTGCCGGCTGCTGCTGCTGCTGCTGCTTATGGGTCGCAAATTACGCTCTCTTGTTCGCTCTCTCTCTCTCTCTGTGTCCCTGGCTTAGTATTGTGCACTGTGTGTTGCTGTTGGCATCACTTCAATGAGCTGCACTGTGGGCAGCAACCACTTAAATTATGTATGAGTGTATCACGTCATAGTTTCAATTTGAGCTGTAATCGAGAGCAAAGCTTCCAACTTTAGTTGAACAAATTTTATTTGACAGATTCATATTTAAAATAATTGTATATCCTATGTTGTGTTAATTCGTTGATATCTTCAGTTTTCAGTTTTTATCATAATCAATCGTTTTTTTTTCAACTAATTAAATATATCGCTAAAATTTAATTAAAATAATTATCACATGTGTGAGTGTTAAATGCATTAGATAACAACTGTTTATATCCATGCTCAACTTTCAACTTGGCCTTGCGCATGTCGTTCCACAGTGCAATTAGTGGATTTAGGTTTTGTGGATGCTGCTGCTTAGCAACATTTGTTGCGTGGTACATGTTGCCAATGACATTTGTTGCAAACATTGTGTTTGGTATTTGTTGTTTTCTTTATTTTTTTTTTTGGCAACCTGCCAAAACTTAAAGCCAAGCTATTTGAATTATGCAGTTGCCACTGCCACTTTGCACAGGAAATGTGAAATCAGCAAGCAACACATTTGTATATATATGTATGTATATATATATATATATGTATGAGCATGTATATATGTGGTTGATAACGTCCGTCGATTTATGCGCGAGTCTTCGCCTTAACCTCATTTCGCGATGCGCTTTCAAAACATCCGCTGTCATGAATTGAATTCAATTCATTTTACTCACAATGCAAAACGCCGACAAATATGCCGACGCAGACGCAGCGACGCTGGGACGCCTGCGCAGCAGCCGTTGCTAAACTAATGCCTCCGCGACAGCAAAAGGCATGCCCTACTCAGGAACCCCCCTCCCCCTCGCCACACCCTTTCGTTTCCTTACCCCCTTTTTCTTATTTGTATTTATTTTATTCTTCCTCTTTTTTTCGCTCTTTACGTAGTGTCATCTGCAATTTGTAAGGCGGCATTACGCGCTGCCAGCTTGCCAGCTTGCCAGTTCGCCTACCTGCAGCATGAGCACTCTCCTGCACCCCCGCACTGCAGAGCCGCTCTGCTCATCGTCCCGCGTCGCTCGCATTAATTTATCGCTTGTTACCTTTGGGGATTGGAGCTGGGAACGTGCCCAACTCCAACATCAACTCCAGAGTTCGCTGTGAGATGCTTCCGTTTGCCTCAACTCGACTCAACTTACTCACCCCCCCTCCCCCCTCGCGCGTGCCCCCAACCACTCCTTTTTGTCCACTTGCTGAGCTCCTTTTTGGGGGCCTTTTTTGATTTATTGTTTTTGACATTTTGTGCGTCGTCTGCGCTTATTTCTCAGTTGCGTTTCGAGTGGTTCCCAACAATTCGACTCGTTATGTTTTATTTATAACGGATTTGTAGCTCTGTCTTCCTTGGCTTTTGTCGCGTTTGTCGTTTGGCATTTTTGTTTATAAATATTTATGCATGTGTGCGACAGAGAGATCCATTGCGCGAAAGCTTTTGCAGCGGTTAGCGGTAAAATCTCTTCTACTCTGTGCTCCTGTCTCTGCCCAATCCACCCCCCCCCCCTCTCTTCCCTTCCCCCACCACACCCCATCCAACCCCAACCATGTCATGAGGCAGCGTCGGCTGTCCAAATATGAAGCATATTTGACCTGTGTGCGCCAACTGACTTTTGAGTTGGGTACACAACGGAATTTTAATTTCGCCTAGTTTGCGTGACCTCCCCCCACCCTTCCCTCCGCTCTCCCCTTCCCTTCCCTTTCCTTACCCACTTTACACTCCACATCCCCCGACCCAACCACCAGATGCCGATTCCAACTCCGATTGTGGAGACAGCTACAACTTTCAGTTTCAGTTTCAGTTTGGTTTCGCCTTGTCGCTTTTACGACCTGGTCAAATTGGCAGCTAACTGCTTTGGCCACAGCTGACGGCAACAAATAATATATATTATAACAAAAACAAAATAAGAAATAATAACAATAAGAAAGAGCAGCTAACTTTAGCACGCCGAATATTAAATACCCTTTCCGACTGCAAAGCCCAAGGCCAAATTTATATATTAATTGTTAATTAAGAGTTGCAAGTAGCAGTCCAAGTAAAGTAGTCCAATATTTATCTGATTATGTCGAGCTTAATACATATTTAACAGACCTATTTTTTGTTCATATTTCATGCATTAAAACACCGTAATTAAAAGACTCCCAATCGAAAGCATCTGTGGGGCCAAAGAGGTTGCAGTAAGCTCATTAAGTATATATATTCTTGATCAGCATCAGTAACAATCGGTCGCAAAATTAGTTTTAAATGAAATGTATGTCAACTCTTATGTGGAAGCCACAAATTAAGTGCCTTTCTGCTACAATACAACCACAGAAATGTGGAAAATTCAGAAACAGTTAACAGTTAGCAGCCAGACCTGGCCAGACCTGAAACAGTTATCATCAGAAAAATATTTATTCAAAACGAACAATTTAAAAGAATATTTGCTTAAAACAACAATTGGCTTAATAAAACAAAAATAAAAATAAAATACGCAACTTCAACCATAAGTAAAATTAGTTTAAAAAGCACAAGAAACAAAACAACCTTTCTAACTCCGAACTAATATTCAGATGCCAACAAAAACAAATAAACGGACTACAGGGTATTTAATATTCGGCGTAAGATAAACGTTCTTTCCTGATTTCGATTTAAATTTGTGATATATATTTCGAAAACGAGGATCAACGAACTCGAACATTGTTTAGAAATTCGATTTTTTATTGTATTTATTTTATTTGGATCGATTAATGATGGTCGTCAAAGGGTTAAATGTATATAATACAATACTGTGAGATCATAGAAGCATCCCCTTCTCCTTCAGGGGGTTACACATTTGGTGGCAAAATGAAAATGCCCGCGTGTATGCAGCAAACAAAAATCAGCTGCAACTTGCAACGGGAGCAGTTGCAACGTCTAATTATGACGCCAGTGCCGACTTATGAGGTGATGGTGCTGCCAGATGTTGTTCCAGTTGTATCTTGCTACTAGCAACTTGCAACTTGCAACTTGCAACACCAGCTGCGGGCGCCACACAACTAGCTGAAGGGGGCGTGGCTGCACAAATGGAGTGCCTGCACTTGACTGATGATTATGCTTATGATATTCGCTCAAGTCCAAGTAACGGCAACAGGATGGAGGCGATGTGGCAAGTGGCAACACTTAAGTGAAATTCTCTTTTTGGGGGCGTGGCTGTGACCGTTTTCAGTCCGCAGTTAGCCAAATCAGAAGTGCAGCTAACTGTACATTTTGTGTGCACTCAAAGCCCGTTGAAAATCAAATATGAAGAGCGCCGTTCTACGAGACTCCCAAGAGGCAGGCAAATATTTATTGTGTATTTATTATGTATTTCAGATATTGTGCTGCATACCTATTTGAACCAGGGATTACAAGGGCACATCTTTAAGAGAGCACAGTGGATTATTGAAAGAATCAATATTAAAAATTAAATTCAAAATGCCGATGCCGATGAAGTTGTTCGAAAGTATTTGACAGACAGAGAAAGTGCATATAAATTATATATATTCTTGATCAGCATAAACAGTCATAAACAGTCTGTCAGTCTGTTTAGGCAAATGGAGCTAGAGCCTTCAAATTTGCTCATATACAACATTTTTAAGATATATCCTTCAAATTAATTTGTAATAATCCTTGAAATATTGATCCTTTTCATAAAGATCATGTAAAGAACATTGGTATTTCACACTGAACAAACTACTTTCAGCCAGTCAATATTGAACAGCTGATTTCAGGGTATCTCCTAGTCGTAGTAATCAATAATAAAATCTATATTCCTCCCTACTCCAGTCCGCTGGGCATGCAATGTTCGACGTGCCTAAGATTCACTGTTGTTTTGTGATTGATTTGATTTATAATATTCCTTATTATTGGGGAGCTTCATGCATTGGGAGCTATATCTTTCGAGCTTAAGACAT